AGGGTTTTAAACCCACCCTTTGCTCCATTGTCATGTACAATGTTAGGAACATAAGGGCTCCTTGGGATGCGAAAGGAAAATTGCTACGTTTTTAGCATTTCTCTCTCCTTTTTTTTCTTGTGTCCTGTTATAGCCAATATAGCTCTGGGGAATGATGTCCCAGAGCTAGGTGATAGCCCAACACCTTTGCTTTCACTAGCAGACCAGTATGACTGTTGCCATAAGGTTCTGTGTTAACAAAGAAAGACAGTCCCATTTAATGAATCATTGTTATGTGTGTGTGTGCTTAATCTTTCAGTAGAGGAACTCCTCTGAGGCTTTCTTTAATGCTTAAAGTGTGATATGCTTTTGAGGGGAAAAATTAAACAAGAGAAAAAAATGGATCGAGATGGTGATCAGAAGAAAGAAGGATAAAGACCTAAATATGGAGTCATTAAATGACAGCATCCTGCTGCTGCAAGTGTAATGGTAAATGGCCTGTATTTATAAAAGTGTCATCTCAAGTCAGGGGACTCCAAAGAGCTTTACACTACATTCAGTAATTCACCCATTTGATACACACATTCACAAACTGATGGGGGCAAGCTACATTGTAGCCACAGCTGCCCTGGGCTTACTGAAAACTGAGGCTGCCATACACAGGCGTCCACTGAACCTCTGACCACTAGGGGTGTCAACATTAATTTATTCAGCGATGCATTGCAATGCGGGGCATGCACGATTCAGCATCGATGCGGCAACGTGCCATAATCGATTATGTCACTGTTTATTTTCTGGCCTCAAATGGACAAGTTGTGAAGTTTCAATTACTTCCGGGGGCATACCAACAACAATCAAGATGGCTGAGGCGCAGGGAGATGACCGCGATAGACGGGTAGGCCTAATTAAAAATGCACCAAAAGCTTGGAAAGCGGATATCTGGGCACATTTCGGATTTTACAAAGTCAATGGGATTTTGATGCATCGCAAGGCATCGCAGAATCGAATTGAATCGAATCGTTACCTGGTGAATCGTAATCTAATCGAATCGTGAGGGCAATGCCAATGCACACCCCTACTGACCACCACCAGTAGGCAATGTAGGTGTAGTGTATAGTCCCAGGACACAACAATTGAGACTGACAGATCCGGGGTTCAAACCAGCATACTTTAGGTTGCAGGAAAACCTTGGCTTCTTATGCCAATGATGCCCCATATGGTGACTCCAGATAATGAATTGGGATCCAGTAGGGTTAGACCGTGATGTTACCAGCACAGGATGCAACATTATAATCCATTAGATTTGTGTGCTAAAGATGCAAACTCACTCAATAATTGCTACAAAACAAGCAAAAAGGAAAGGGGAAAATTGTAACACAGACTCGTATTAAATATTTTCACGTTTTTAAAAGGAACAATTGCAACTGTTTTTCTCTTTCAAAAGTGGACAATTAACAGAGGATTAATTCCACATGAGGTATGCAGCAACACCTAAATCCAGTTAGGATATGGTAGTGTTATGGTCTTGGTTCTGTTATGTTTTACTTTGCTCCATGTTTTCTAGTTTTATTGGTTTAATTCTTATTTTGTTGTGTTTTCTGGATATATGAGTTCTTAGGGTTTTATTTGGCGCTCTTTTATGTTGCTTTCCTTTTCCCTTGCTCCTTAGACTGCTCTCTTCACACCTGCTCCCAATCTGCTCGTTAGCCCTCTCTAAATCCTCCATATACTCTCCTTGTGCCGTTCCTCAGGACTGGTTCCCCGCCATACCTCGTCTGAAGGCTGATTTATACTTTGAAACTAGGTCGCCCCCCTCCGCAGACACTCTGCTGCACCTCTACCAAATTGTAGGTGACCGCAGACATTGCCACAGGCAGGAGGCCGGTTTGTTTTGCTTGTATGACTGCAATTGCGGAAAACAACTCGTGAGGTGCACGAGAACGCTGGGACCCTTTTTCCACCTGGATCCCCGCTCTCTTTCTCACCCTCATGTCCCTCCGTTGTCAGACAAACTTGCCGCCACTTCCTCAACCCCTCGGCTGTATCTTGACCCACAGCGTATAGCACAGACCATGATCAAAATTGAGCATAAATCAAAAATGTCTGTGTCAAGCTCACTGCGACACACTGCTGCGGGAGTATAACCAGCCCTTTACTCTGTCCTACCTCGTCTTACCTTGGATTCCTGCCTATGTTAAACTTTTTTCTCTAATTAAAACTGCAAGAAGTCACCTCAGCCTCTCTGCCTCTGCATTTGGGTCCTCAAACCTCAACCTAACCCTGACAGGTAGGCAGGGAAGCTACACAGGAACATTGCAGTAAGATTGAAAGTAAAAAATAACCAACACAATTCCAGTGTGAAAAACATTTTTATTCACGGTCTGAATCTGCAAGATGTGCGAATTGGACAATCACGCATTGTCAAAATCGTCTGGAAATGGGCTGAGTTCAAGAATAGAGAGGCATTTCCTATACAACAACTGAATAAAAGGGCCTAAACAGCAGTGGCGGTGGGTGTGAAAATGCCAATCACATAGAACAACAGATTGGGTACGCTATTCAAAGAAGAAAGTCACAATCAAAGCAAAAATACAACACTTTTTGTATATCTCGAAATAAGTCTGAATTCTCAAAAGAGCTAGAGGTAGTCTAATTATGCTGCAGTGAAGGACTTTATTTTAAAGATAGACCAAACTGTAAAGTAGAATGGGAAGCATTATGTGACCTCATCCCAAAAGACTAACTTCCTCCCACAGGGACAAGTACCTGTTCATTTTACCACAAAGGCCTCATTAACACAAACCCCTTGCCATCATTAAGACATCCACAATAAAATTAATTGAAAGACAGATTAAAAATAAATTAAGAAAAATGCAATTCAGAATGCCTACGTGCACTTCATAAATCACCCTGGCAAAGCCAGGAGCTGGCTCACCATAATTAACTGCAGACTATTTATTTTATCCTGACGGTATAAATTAGAATTCAGACGCACAGATTATATTAGGGCTGTCTGCCAAGCGGAACTGCTGAGGGGTGTGCAGAATATTTTAAGGATACAAAGAGGAGAACAGAGGGAGGGTATAGGAAAGAGATAGATAGTATGTAGAAAGGCAAACAATGTGTAAATGCATACAAAGCAGAAAGATAACATTTGCGTCCTCCTAGTGAAAGTATTTTTCCAGGCAGTGCATAAAGAAACAGGAGACAATGCAATTAAGATCAACAATCAAGTGTGTGATTAAATGAAACAACACACTCTAGATTAAATGAACCATTCCATCAGCTCCTTGTCATTGAGAACAAGATTCAAATTCTGCTGCAAGTTTAAGTGGTGTTCCTGGCATGAAGCCTGTGATCGGTAATAGGCTGGTAACATAACACAACCCAAGAAATTTTTCCTCATTCTTCCCTGCTGCTTCTTGCTCTGCTCTCCTGCTGTATCACAACCTGTCCATTTCACATGCAAATGGAGACTAAACCTCTCCTGCCAGTCTGCCTCAGACACCCCCCATAGTCACACTTGTTTTCTTTCAGCATCTCTCTTGCTATCTATGCACCTCTCAGTGTTACAGTCAGCATTGGCCACACACTGCCTCCTCGTGGGCACATTGCCCATACTGGCACAGAGCCAGAGCTGTTCTGCCACACGTGATGGACAAAACACACCCTCCCTCTCAACATGCTCAAATTCCCCATGCATCCTTTTATCTGAATGCCTGCGGCCGTCTCCTCTGTCTTTTTTCTGCACCGCAGCTGAGCTCAACACTTTGAAAGTATGCCCTCCAACCAGCCTGAGAAAAATGCTAGCACTCTAGCTCTAGTACTGCGAGGGAACCAATGGAGCCTATTTGAATTCTTGGCTATTATGCAATCACACAGAACATGACACTAAGTTACCTTTAAACAATGTTACATCAATGTGCTGAATCAGGTATGAAGTGAACCGATTGATGATATTAACTTACGAGAGAAAGTCACATTTAGAAAGAAAACACAGCCTTAGTTTGAGTTGTTAATTCAATTGATAAGACAAAATAGGTAAAGGCTGCCACCAAAATCAACAGTAAATCCACATAGATACTATTAAAATGTGCTTTGGAGCAACTAAAAGAATACAAACACAAGCGAGGGTTCATTTCTTTGTGTTTCAAAGTAGAAATGGGATAAGTTGGTTGGAATGGCTGCATTAGAACATATTCTTATCAGACAATTTAAGATGACCAGTTACACTCAAACACTGCATCTTACCTGTATGTCAACCTTTTTCTATTGTGCTGCTCCCCACACAGACTGTATTTAAATCCTATTGTTTCATAGGAGTAGATATACACCCCTGATTTTAATGTCAGCGTCAGCAGCATGTGTTTAGTGCCTTTTTATGTTTTGACCTTCTAAAACTGTTTGTTATTTTGTTTTTTTGGCCTATGCGATGTGATCCAAGAGTTTATTGTTATGGGCTTTCTTGGTGTCAGACCTTTTAAGGGATTGAAAAATAGGAAATTGATTTATAAGTCATGAAATATCTGCATATCACCTGTCGACACTGCTGCTACATCTACACTAACCAAACGTACCTACCAAGTTCTTTTAAGCTTGTACCTCAAGAACTAAAGTGAACCTTTAACAGTCATGGAATGCGGAATGACCAGTCCGCCTCAGATGTATAATTTGGTTTCCTCTGTGAGTAAAAAGCCTTGGAGGTGTGCATACACAGTAGTCATGTTTGCTAATGTACATGGCTAGTGCTGGACTTTATTTACAAGAAGGGGGAAATAGAAAAGGGGAAATAGAAAACATAAATAAATAACAAAAAAAGAAAGTAAAGAAAATAAAGACATACCTACTGGTTACATTGTACAAACTTTATACTATTACCTCCTTTACATATTGTACAGACAGAGAGCAAATGTGCAGTGCTGCATATGGGCAGAAAACATGGTATGAAAAATGACAGAAGGGAGGGGTAACTGCAGACCAGAATATAATGGTGCGCTCCTGCGAAGGAAAAATAATCATACCTTGTGGAAGGGGGGAGAGTGGGCGAGGGAGGGGCAAGAAGAAGAAGAGTCTGTGCCCTGCAGCAGGGAAATGGAGCTCCACTGCTAGGCTACTGGATGCCTGATTTCCTGGCAACACAGCGGAAGAATTTCCTTCAAATGGAGGCAACTAGCATCTGTTCCCTAAAAAACATACAAAAAAATGTACGCACACATATTAGAGGCAGTACTGCAATGGATGATATGGTCTGCTAGTTTATATTTCATAATTCATATGTATGTTTTCTTACATAAATGAGAGTGTAATTCATTAAATTATATTAATAACACAATTTATGCAGTGACACTGGTTTTAGCCATTTGCAGTTCCCCAACAACTTATGATCAGTCCAAAAATCATGTAGCAGTTCCCCATATGGCCGTTAGGTGTCTCTCTTTCACTTCGCATCACTGAAACTGATTCCCTCTCACTCTCTCATGGAAAAAGGAATCCTCCACCCCTGAACTCCCATCTACACATAATATATACACCACCATTTGAAAATGGCAGCTTTTTGAAAATTCACCTTGATTATCAGACATTAAAAGTGACTTCTCCAGAGCTGAGTGTCTGGCTAGGGGGATGGCTGCAGACAGCAGAACAATGCAGCAGGCTTGGTTTTAATGCCTGGTTGTGGTGTGCAGGGAGGAGAGAGGAGCCAGCCCTTTGTTCTCTCCTACAGCCAATTATTTTCTACGTGTGCCTCTTTTCACAACAACAAGAGAGAATTTAATTTTAATACACTTTCTGGAAAGATGAGAAAAAACCCATCTACAGTATGAGATGGGGACTAGATCAGCAGTTGGGTATATATGCACACATTTCTGTATGAGACAGAGATGGATGACAGGGGAAACAACAATGACATCTATCCTAACACACACAGCAACAAGAATCTTCTAATGCAACATGCTAAAAACTACAACAGTCTAAGTCCGAAAGGCATACTAAAACACAATAGAGCACCATCTCGCCACATTGAAAAAAGCAATATAAGCAGACAACCAAAGTAACCAAAAAAAGCATAAGTATAGCTCTGCAGATGGTACCTAAAATGTGTTGGGAAAAAAAACATTGCAAAAATAGGGAATTCCTGATCAAGAGTCATAACAACAAAACCCAGCATTACTGTTGGTGGTTATGCGTCCAAATATTTTTCTAATTGGAAGGGCACTTTATCTTGCTGTCAGGAAGGCAGTAAAAGCCAGTGGTGTTCTCAGAAGGAGCAAACAAAGCTTGCTGGCCTTTTATTAACACTGGAGCTCAGACATACACTTCTGCTGGAGGCTTTCATCAGAAACCTGGACCTTAACATATAAACAGACAAGCATATACACATGAAGCAGTGTTACTAAATGATTACAGTGAGAAGCCAAAGCAACCACTGTTGAACAATTCAGCTGCTGCTTTCTTCCCCTACACACACATTTCATCTAACACCAGAAAATTATTGTTGCCAGCAGGAATAGAAGCTCTTTTTCAAGGCTTACAGGTTAAAGTAATAATAAAACAATGCGTGAAAAAAAACACACAAGAATGAGTTCAAATCCACTAACAACAAAGCAATATACAAAGAAAATATAAACTTCAGTACAACCGGAGTAGAAGGCTGTAAAAACCAGCCAATGTGGAATTTTTAGGTCAGAGGAGAGTAAGAAAAAAACAAAATACAGCAAGAATAAATATAACAGCACAAACATGTGTATATGCATCATGCAAAGCTTATTTTTTTTAAGATGAATTTTAAAATACTGGATTTATACTAAAAAGCTCAAAGAGAAACAGGTGCACCTGTACACACAGTAATACACACTCATGCAACCAGAATGGCTACACACAAGCTAAATTAAATTTCAGTCCTTGGGCAGACTACTAACCTGCTTGTGTGTGGCACCTACTCTCCAGCACGGTAAAACCAATTCTCTGGAGATGGTGAAATTAAAGGGCAAATTTCTGCCTGTTTATGGTTCTCACTCTGTTTGTCTCTTAATCAAATGTTTTATTGGCAATCATTTGGTCCTAAAAGTCACGTTTTTGTGAGGCAGCTGGCATGGTGACAGCAGCTGCTGGATAGATAGCACCCTTCTTCCGTTTATTTACACCTGTATAAGAGGCATTAATTAACCTGGTGTAGAAAGTTTAAATGACCCTCCTGCATCTGTTAAGTTCACATTTTCATACTGTTTAAAAATATCAGTGCTGTTTATCAATTTGTATTAAAGCTTGTAAACAGAGGCTATCTGGAGCTGACTTTTGAACAGGAAAACATTGGAACCTAATTTCTCCTCTATAAATGTAATAATGTTATAAAAATTAATATTTTGCATGCACTGTTCACTACTTCAGTAACATCAGACTAGTTTGTTTTCAGGTCTGTGCAGCTGTTACTCTACCTGCTGAAGCAAGCAGCCATGTTTAACGATTAATCATGTAGTAGTAGACTCCTCACTTCAGTCTTTTGAAATCTGTAGAAATAAAGAATGTCAGTTAGAAAAAAACTTGCAGAAGTTACATTCTTTAAAGCTCTACATTTGCTTTTGTTTTTTTTGGCTGTGGCTTTTACATTTTCTACTGTACAAAACACTGTTTCACCTTGTGGGTATTTTTGAAAGATATTTTCCAACCAAATTTCTTGGTTTGATTACAGATGTAAAGATTTATATCTAAAAAAAATATATAATGCAATTTGAAGTAGTTCATTGAAATAAACATAAATACAGTACAAAAAGATACATTAAAACTTTTGTATACTATGTTCAATGTTTTGGATCATCAAAGTATTTTTGGTAAAGCATTCTAAATACACCTTGTACAGTCCTCTGTATATTGCATCAGTAAAGCATCATTTTCTGCCCTGCAAAACCCATCCCTCTCTGCTGCTCCCTCCTCTGGTTTCTGGCAGCAGTAATCTGTTTCTTAGCTAGTGCTACTGGGATTAGGTGGTTGACTGAGGATAGGATATATGAATTGTTAAAGTGGAGAGCACCGTGTTGCAGCAGGGTAGACAAAGTCAACAAAGGTGACACGGAAAGAGAAGAGAAAGATATCGGCTAATTATTTTGCCCATAGACACTAAATATAAATGAAAAACCTGTTTAGAAAATATTAATAAGAAAAAAAAAAAAACATCTCTACTGTATACTTACCCCCAAACAAAGATAAAAAAGTACGGTAAGCAACCTGCAGCAGGGACACACAAAAGAAATTCTTATAATATAAATATATTATATTATCTTATAATATAATATATTATATAAAGAATTTTGATATTTATATATATATATTATATAATATAGTCGTGGTGCTATAGCTGGTTCACAGCCACACTGAGCTTCTGTCTGGGACACAAGTATCCCTTCTGGATGGATCACCTGGACAACAGAGGTGTTCAGACAAGAGCAGCATCACGCTCTTCCTGGTACAGAGTGTGGCAGAACAGGGATGAGAATGCCAGGTGGGCTCAACACCGCCTGGAGCCTAGGAACCACAGCAGGCTATTGCAGCAAAAGCAGAAGCTGGCCAGGGCTAGCTCTGGATGCTAACAGTGGGAGATCAAAGGAAGACAGTAATACATCATCAAAGTCCACCAGTTAGAGAGGGCAAATTTTCTCAAATTTAAGATAGGGTAAAGGCAACCTGTCCTGTGCTGCCGGGACATACATTGCGGGATACACCCTTGACTCCTGGAAGGATTGGAGAATGGTGAGTTTTACGATGCCGTCAGTCGAGGACATTGTAGATGTATTTAGTTTGGATTCATCATACTCACATTTGGAGGACACATGATGCATCCACAATTACAGAGGAAGTCAGCGGCAATCTGGGCGATGACTAGGCTGCCGGCCTCGGCTGATGCACTCACAAAGGCTTTGAGCGAGCAGGACCATGAGCTGAGCCATCAGCTGTATGCGATAAAACGCAAGCTGGCTATGGTTGTTGAACTCAAAGGTGAGAAGGGATAATATCTTGGATGTGCATGTTTGCTTCAAGGTGGAAAAGCCCATCAAATGCAGAATGTTGGATTTAGCACGTGGACCCCATCGACAAAGACTTCAAGGCTGACGAAAAATTCAGTGCAGCTTGTTGTCAAAACAAAAGTGCATTTTGGATTTCAGCCTCCCCCTTATCAAAACTCCCCTTGATACTATGGCGGAAGGGTCGAGAACTGCCGGCTCCCCCCTCCCCTACCTGCGCAGACCTGTGGATGCATTCAGAACCGTAGCACCGGTTGATATACTTTCCATCAAATAAAGTACAATGGCCTCTGGACAGCATTCATGGACAAATTGCACAAACTCACTCACACACAACTGATGCTCAAATACCACATAGACTCATACGTGAAACCCAAGCCTCCAATGTAACCCTCTGCTGAAATGTTTGTCTCATGTTATATGTGCTTTTCTTGTGCTGAGGTTTTTTGATGTCTCAAACTATACCCAAAAGCTCTAGAAGCCAAAATCTTTTTATCCAGACAACACACACTGTGTTTCACTACAAAACCTATATCCTAATACTAAATTTAAATTTAAACCTAACAATTTATATTTTAATTTCAACAGATGTAAAACCTATTGTCGATGCTCTATCAGAACAGCATACACTGTCAGATTGGCATACATTGTTCGAATAACCATCTGTGTACATGGGCAACAGAGAATTATCCCTACATCAAATTTTAGAAGCAGTGTACTGACCAGCAAAAAACATGTTTATTTCAACAACAACAACAAAAAAAAATCACTCTCATTATACTGATATTTCTTGGATGAAATGGTGAGACATGATTCAAGTTTCAGGGATGTTGAGAGATACCTAAAACCATATTAGCCAATATTTGTCATAAAACGAGACAGATGGAGTTGGACAATAGGAACTTTCAAAATCTTTAATGACAGATATAATTAAAGCAAAACAGAACCGGACGTGGGCTGCGATGGATAAGCAGGTCACAGTGGCTGCAGTAGGGGGGCGGGGCTCCACCAAATCACTCTGGAGGGAGAAACACAGGTAAGAAGATTATCCGAGTGAGTCACTTACCTGGTTTAACAGTTCAGTCCATCCTCTCCGAGGAAGGCAAGATCCCGCCGATGGACTGCCAAACAAGATATGGCTCCAAGCTGTCCAAAGTGTCCCTGATGCAGCAGCCCCAGTGAGCAGGCAGGAGACTGATCAAGGTCAGAGAAACAGTTCAAAACTGAACAGTTGCCAGGTCCAGGAGTCCGTAGCCCAACCACAGGGTTCCGATCTGAACAGATCAGAACAGAAGGATCCATGGTTCCAGGAATTCACAAAACGTTCAGGCAAGTTCAGAGTTCCAGGAGTCCAGCAGCGAGCTCTGAGAGAGACACCCTAAGATGGAGACAGGCAGGCTCAGTGGTTGAGGGACAGAGACAAGACATGGTACCGGAATTACTGCGGAACTTTAAACTGGTCTCCACCTTCGATCCAGGGTTACAGGAATTAAAACTGGCCTTCTCCACGTTCCGAGCAAAAACCCTGAGGGCTCTGAGGAGAAGGACCAGAACTGGTGCTCCCCCCACACGCCGAGCCAAAACCCTGAGGGTTCAGCGGAGAAGAGACAGGACAAGATCAGGAGACAGGAGACAAACACCAAACCCTCTCAATCCACTGACCTCCAGGGAAAGGAACATGAACAGGGACTTAAATAAAACTCATGAAATAAACATGAATAACTGACACAAAAACATAACTTAGACTTACACTTAGAGCCTTAGACTTTATTGTAATTTTGTGCACAGAGAGTGTATACAAAATAAAATTTTGTTTTGTACAGCTCTCATGACATTTCCAGTTCTTAAAGTGCCGCAGTGATCAAATGTAAACATTAGAGAAAAGAAAAAAACATTGGTGCAAAAAAATGCATTGATTAATGTGAGAACAACTTCCTTAATTGCAACACATTCATTAAATCTTTTCCTCTCTATTTCCTGTTCACTACAAACATGCATGATGACTTAATGTGGAGAAAGTATAGCTATCTGGGTTCTTACAACTTCTTGGAAGACTGCCCCAACTGCATAATCAAAAGAGATAACATGGGTGTAGCTTCTCTCAAGCCAAGATGTCAGCTGGGCTTTCTTCTTTTGTCAATTTAATTATGCACTTGTGAAATGAAAAAAAAAAAATGCAGCAACTCAAAAATAACGATAGCTTATCAGTGCTTCCTTAACTACAAATATAAATAAAAAACAAATATAAATTGTATCTGATATTTTTAGAGATAATTGTAAAGGGGGACTTCTACCATTCAGGTCTGCTTATCATTCTCTCATAATTGGCACTATTACCAGCTGTAATTTGCTAGATATCTACTGATGAACTAGTCTAACAGCTGAAGAAGTTTCCAGTAACAAATAGTGTAGCAGGAGTTTTAAACTGCTTTCAGTGACAGATTAAACAACCATCAGCTGTGAGTTCTCAAGCATGTCTAATGCAATCAGATCAAAATCTAAGCGCAGCAGTTAAAGGGGCGGGACAATCAATCCTATTGGCTGATGTTAAATCAGCCTGTGCAAGCTATCGGTTGTTTAATCTGTCACTGAAAGCATATTTCACAGTTTTTAAAGGCTTTTAGCACTTTTTATCTATATTTATGAACATATTTATTAACTTATTTTTAACTGTATTACTTTTTAACTCTTATTGAGAATAAGACATAAAATCTATACTTTTTAAGTAGAAAAAGTATTGTAAAAGAAGACATTAAATCAAGATCTATACATTTTTTACTTGTGGTTTTAACACTGGGTTACACTGTGACCCTTGGAACATGCAAGTCCCTTTGCATGGGATGGGTTGTTTTGAAATGACAAATTCAGGCTCTATCAAGGCACTGGTAAAAGCAATGCTTAAGCCATGGAATAGAGACTGGGCAATGCATATGAGTGGGTTTTATAAGTGGCTGTAATTAGCCTTTTTGGCTGAGTGGTTTGTGTCTCTGAACGTCTCACAGGATTTGTGGTCTCAAGACTTGGGTGGTTGGGTTTGTCCTGTTGTGCCATGTGCCATGATCGTGGTTTTGGACATTGAGAACCAGTGTCCACATTTCATCTTGACATGATGACCAGAGAAGAAAATACAATTTTGGCTCATAAACAGCTGTAAGACCTCTGCAACCCCCTTCCCTCTTTTTCAGCCACCTGCCTCCACAGGAACTTCCACAGACATGTGACTTTATTCCTGTCAGCCATTTTTGTATCATTTTGGGTTGCTAGTTTGTAGCTTTCTTGGAGAGTTGTTCTCAGTTTTTCAACATATTGTGAGTGGGACTTAATTTTTTTTGTTTTGGAGAGGTAGGTTGAATGCAAGGTCAACAGGTAATCTAGGTTGATGACCAAACATTAATTCATAAGGAGCAAATCCAGTTGAGTCATTTTTGGTACAATTGTATGCATGGACCAATGGCTTTACAAAATTGCGCCACTGCGTTTTGTCTTTATGTTCCAAGGTCCCAAGCATACTTAGCAAGGTGCGGTAAAAACGTTCCACATGATTCCCCTTAGGATGATAAGGAGTGGTTCGAATTTTGGGAATGCCATGATCTTACAAAGTTTCTTGATCATTATGTAATCTTCAGAGATGCCATAATGAACTATAAAGTGATCCCAAAGACATTTTGCCACGGTTTGGGCTTTTTGGTTAGGAGTTGGAATGGCTATAGCATACATTGTAAAGTGATCAATCAGTATGAGCACATCCTTTGTGTTGCTTTGATCTGGCTCAAAGGATAAGAAATCCATACAAACTTGTTTGAGCCGTGTGGTAGACTTTATGTTTACAAGCAATGCAGCCTTTTCCAGTGGGGTCTTCCGCCGCACACAGCAGATGCATGTTTTGATTCTTTTCTCGATGTCAACTGCCGTACGAGGTCAATAACACCTTGCTCTGTCAAGATCAAGGGTATGCTCAATACCTAAATGGCCTACCTTAATCATTATGGAGACTGTGAAAAACTGCCTCAAGGAGCTGTTCAGGTAAGACAAGCTAATAAGTCACATTGCCATGATCTTGGCATGTTCTGTACAATATTTGGTTGTGTAGCTTGAGACGATTGAGTTCTCAAAGCAACAGACTTATATCAGGAAGTTCAGTTCTGACTGTAGGTTGAACCTTTTCCCCAGTCTCAATTTGGACATTGACCTCGCGCAAGCAGGGGTCAGCTCTTTATTCTTTTTTGAGTTGTTCAGCTGACAGATGGGGCACAACTGGAAGACCACCACAGTCATCTTCAGTGACAAAATCATCTGGTTAAGCGTTTACTGAGATGGTTAATGAGTGCACAAGGGGAAGGTTCATTGGAAAAATTACAACACAAGGGTCTCTCACAGATGGCTGACACCACCCCTTGGCATCTTGCTGTGGCAAATGAGTTTTGGTGAACTGCTGTATCCTGTCAAGCTCTTTTTGTGGCAATGTATCATTTAATGACTCACCCTGTGGTCGCCTTTAAAAACAATCTGCATCAGCGTTAAGTTTGCCTGCTTTATATTGCAGCTTAAAGTTAAAGGTAGACAGAGAAGCTAACCAACGGTAGCTCATTGCATCCATCTTAGCCGTTGTAAGAATATAGGTCAAGGGGTTACTGTCAGTGATGACAGTAAACAGGTTCCCATAAAGATAGTCTGCAAACTTTGCTGTTACAGCCCACTTTAGGGCCAAAAAATGTTAATTTGTGGGCAGGGTACCGAGCTTCCCTCATGGACAGCCCCCTGCTTGCATAAGCAATGAATCTTGTTTGGCCTTCCTGTTCCTGATAAAGGGTGTCATCAAGCCCTCTTGTGCTGGCATCGGTGTGAAGTGAGTAAGGCAGATTAGGGTCTGCAAATGCCAAGATAGGAGCAGAAGTGAGCTTCTTAATGATGTCTTTGAAAGCTTGGTCACAAGAGGAGGCAGGCTTAGTTTTGGGTTTTGTGCTCTTACGCAGCAGTGGATAACCTGATGTTTCCACTCAGTGTTGATAGGTGAGGACTCAAAGTTAAAAACCAGATTGTGTTTTTGACCAACCTCAGACTTAGAGGATCGAATGTTCGTGAGTGAGGACTTTCTGGAAGGCGTGGATTTATCCAATCACATATTTTTGAGGGATTGTCACATCATGTTCAGTTTCATTGGTGAGAACAACTGGTATCAGGTAGGGTGCTTGCTCAGGTAAGCTGATGAGGCTTTGCTAGGACGCCCCCAGGTAAGGTTGAAAAGGATGCGTGCTCTAGCAGCATGGATCTCTCTGCTCTATTAGTTCACACAGCTACCGGGCCTTCTAGGACAACAGTTTGGCCTGCTGGGACCAGCTGTGGGCCTTTGTTGTACATGGTTCCTAGACCAAGGCTACTGTTTTTACTGTTTGTGCCTTAACTTCAACACTTTTAACTCTGCCTTATAACCATCTGAAGTGAGAGGCTGCAGTCCAGGACATGCTTTGTTATACAACTCAAAAATCAGATCTAAGATGTTAGTTCCAATTAACACCAAGGACTGGGAAGCAGCTTGAATGTTTGGCATGACTAAGGCAAGTGTCTACAGATCAGCTTCAATGCCGAGAAACTCTTTTGGAAAAGGTATGTTCATTTTAATGAAAGGCACTGATTTGCCATTTCCTCCTTCGACTTCGAGCAGGTAAAAAAATGGCTTATTCTCATGACTGTACAAATATTCATAATATTATTTTGGGACCATGGTAACCTGGGAGCCAGAATCGAGTAAGCTGTTTGAAGTATTGGCGTTAATCTTTACTTGGGCTGTACTTTTAGTACCGATTAAGCTTGGAGGCAGTTTGAATTTGTCAGTTTTAGTATGCAACTTTAAAATTACATTTTTTTAGTTCAGATATTTTGCTTGAGTTCAAAGGGACGGTTTGACTCTGTGGTAGCCTCCGTTTGTCCCTCAAAAGAGACAGACTTAAGTTTAAAGAAGCAAGGCCAATGTTTTGTCTATCCCATATTTGTCTTTTTTCTTTTAATTTTTTACATTTTGCCTCTACAAGTGCAGGGTTCTGCTCATATTCACAATTGGCAGCAATATCTTGTTGGCAACAAAAGCTTGGGCCGTGAACTAGGGCCGCTGTGTGAAGGTAAGTTGGGTTCAGGGCTTGCATTGTTAAGTTTCAAGGGGCTTGGATCAGGGTTCTGAACAAGGTTAGGAGAGTGGGGGTTATCAATGTGGTGTGGAGGGAAACCAGCACTTTGTGTAGGCTCTGTGTCAATATTTGGACATGGGCTTGCAGCTGCCTCAACAGTTCCCATGGACTCTTCAAACTTTGACATCACTTCCCTTAAGACTTCTTCAAAATCCTTCCCACTTAATTTGGATAAGGTATTTAGGTCAGTGAGGTACAGTAGGTATCAGTAACATGGCCCCCTATGGTTTTTCTGTAAACATCTGTTGGGGCACGGATACAGTATTTAACATCTGGATTATCAGCTGATGGATACAGGTAAGGCAATGCAGGTGTTAGCTCGTGAACAGCTAAATGAGAGCTAAACTCCACGACACAGTTCTGGTAAAACTCAGATGAGATATCATCGACTTTTAGTGTCCTATTTATTGTACCACATTGTCGCAAGAAGTCAAAAACATCATCGTCCTTTTCAGATCCAGTTAAACTACTAACAATGACTGCATTTGGTATCTTAATTCCTAATTTTGCAATGAAATCCATTGTACCAATGTGTTAACAGGCAAGATTTTAATTGTCATTCCACTGTTGTCACACAACTCTAGGCTCCTGGCTGGCTCAACATCCAAGTTTTGAAGAGGAGGATCTTGAGAAGTCTGGGTGCTACAGCCAAAAGTGCACCACAACAGGAGGTTGAAAAAAAACCTGACCGATGCTCTGATGCTACACGAAGCTACAAAGGGAATTTTCCGGATTCAGTCACTCACAAGGGAAGCTTTCTGAGATTTAATAAAACATATTTACTATTTTGAATTATATATTTTAGGAAACTATTTAAAAAAAAAATTTTTTTTACCGATTTCCAAGATTCTTCATCAAATTTGACAAAATCTTCAAAATCTATTAGTGGAAACAATCAGCTGTGAGCTCTCAAGCATGTCTGATGCTATCTGATGCAAAACCTCAGCACAGCAGTTTTAACACTGGGTTACACAAGCACAGACCCATCCAGAAACACAGCGTGGGGAAAGGTGTCCTGATTTTTGGAAATGGCTCACCTTTCTAAAATGACTAGGGAAAGACTTTCGAACTAAGAAATTTGGATCTTTGGTCATTTTGTTGATCATTTCATGTGTTAACTGTTGTGTAAAGCAAGCTAATAAGAAGGTAGTTTTACTGTTTGAAAGCTGTACTAAATGAAATTTGTATGTATGTCACATCAGTCAAACAATGGCAGATGAAAACAAGTCATTGGGTGGATTCTATGAACTTCTAGTGAAATTACTGCATATCCTTTATGACAAATACATAGAAGGAAAGTGTTTAAGTGAAAATGGAGTCTGAACCACATTTGGAAGATGCCCTTCCATCTGTTTTGTGAGACTCCTGGTTTTTGGTAATGTGGCTCTGATGATAAAACGTTAGAAATTTAATCTTCAAAATCCTCAAAGTGATAATATATCAAAACCAACTGGCCAAATTATTGGTTTTGCTGTTGCAAAACTAATTGACCAATAACCAGATTGATTGGTTATTGATCTGGTTGATGTGGATAGATGGTTGCTTAACCTTTGAACCTTTGTCGAAACTTTAAAATAAAAGCTGCACCAATAAAATGTTGTTTTGCACAAACCAGCAAAAATTTAGCCAAATTTATTTAGACCAATTTTGTTCGATTCAAAGAAGGTGGGGGAACTGCTTGACCTTTGGTGACCCCTGAAAGCTCTCATTAAAATCTGCAAAATGATAGTGGTACAGACAAATATTCTTGAAAAACAAATGGTTGTACCAAAGGTTGCCCCTTTTACAAGCAAGGGGTACGTAATACAGAAACTAGAAAGTGTTCATTATTAACCATCATTCTTTGACAAAACCAGTCAGGCAAGAGTTGCTATTTGGTAATAAATTGTAACTGAGATAAAATATTACACCAACATATACCCAACTTTATATATTAATATGTATGTATTAATATAAAATAACAATAACTCCAAACGACGAATTATATATAAAAATGGATTTTTAAAATGCAAAGCAATATTTCACTTCTGTACAGATAAAATAGTAACTGTCACTGCATGTTAATATTTATTTCACTTATATAAACACCTAAAAAAGAGGAATTGAAAATCCTTTTTAATCAGAGATAGAAACACCACAGCCTTTAAATTCATTATTAACCTCATTGTCTTTTAAATGTATTTGTGAAGTTTGGAATATTGTAACACATCTGAACTCCAGAATCAGTCTGTCCAGAGGCTTAGCAACAGGTGACACATCCACGATAGATTTATCAAGTATCTGGTTGGTGCTAAACCATCTTTTTTACTTCCAACATAAGAAAACCTTTGTAATTTTGTATATATAATTCAGAAGAAGCATATTTGTCCTGATTGTACTGACTGAAGCCTCATTGTTTTTAATAGTACCTTTTATATGTATTTAACATCACGGGTCAAAAAAAAGGTTTTCTGGTCAAACTGCTGTCCTTCTCTTAACAGCCAATCAGATGTAGATAGCACTGAAAATTAGGCTCTCTGATATTATCTGTTCTTAGCACTAAACGCTGTACCTGATGAAGAAGCTCCCAGGCCTGGTTTGGCTCTGAACCTCAGGTGTTGTACAGCCGGTCCTTTTAAAGATCCAAACAGCTCTCCAGCTGGTCAGGCAGAAATTGAAGAATTTGCTTCATGATGTCCAAATGGTGGACCAGAAAGGAGGCAGACTGCTGAGAAAAGGAGAAGAATCAATGTTGCAAATATAGAGTACCCTTTCTGCACAGCTAACTTCCTCATTCAATATCGAGACCATAATGGACAATAATTTTTCTAAGAAATTCCTGTATGAAGTAAGGAAATTATATATGATATTCCCCAGAGGCAACCCTGGAGGATTTATCTGCAGAATATAAAGACACATTTTTTAAAGAAAAAAATACTTCAATAAATCTTAAACATCCATCATAAATACATACATGCATGCATACTCTGATACAATCATCAGCAGCAACAACCCTAAACAACAAATGTAGATGTTTTTTTCTCTTTAACAAAACTAAAAAAATATTTCATAAAGTTGAAGCTACTGCTGTGCTTTTTATTATAGTAATCAACAAGGGAAACATAGAATAATATTTGCAATTTTGGAATAATTTGAAATAAATTGAATATTAAACAAGCCCATAATTAATACAAATCACCAGAGGTAAATCACAAGAGAGGAAGGAATGGATAGGGATGAGAACAAGCAAAAGACATAGAAAGTGAGAGAGGGGTAGAGCAAAGAGACTGGGTGAAAGGAAGGGAGGATAGTAAGTAGAAGACGAACAGACCAAGCTCCTAGTTTAGTTGGACGGTGGCTTTGTCTTGTGAGCCCCATGATGCTGCCGGTGTCATGGACACAAAATGGACCCGTTGACAGCTAGCAGGACAAAAACTCTCTAACCATCTGCATCTAAACTGGCAATTACTCCATAAAACCAACTTGAAACAAGAAGAAAAAAGAAGATTAATTCCTTTTCTGTTGTGCTCAAAACACTGTTGTCATTTCAGCATCCATCTTTGCCTCCCGTAAGGTGTTACACAGAAGAGCCTGGCTGTAGTTCCTACTTTGAAAATGCAGTTTATGCAGAAATCCATTTTACGGAATCGCTTAAAACGTGTCTCATCCGTTAGCAGTCTCTTTCTTGTGTGCGATCCACACCGATAACCCTGGTCTAGCTTTCTTTCCCACACAATTGCTCCCTCTCTCTCCATTCTCCCCTCCTAAACTGATCAATACTTCATTTAAATCATGACATTAGCCCACTACTACTGAAGGAAAATGTAAGAATAAATACAAATGGGTAAAGTTAATCAATAAGTTATGCCTTAGATAAAACGTTTACCGTTTCTTGTAAATATGATGTCAAAAACAGAGTTTATATAAGTGTGAAGAGCAGCACTGCGTTTTGTATTTGAGCTCTCTAAGCTTCTGTAAGCTTCATTGATCAATACACATTTAAAATGAGTCTGAAGAACGCTTTCACAATGTCTTACAAAAAAAGCAAACATTCAATTCCAATTATCATCTCAAATGACTAGCTTTAGGGACACAAGCTGGATACTGATAGAAGCAATAATTCATATTTATTCTGCTGAAATTTTACATTAGCACCCCAGTGTATAATTACCTAATATATATGCACACTCATGCTTTTAACTATTCACATAATTCACAATGAACAAAATCAATACATTGCTATTCTCATAAAGTATGTCTGCATTAGATCAAACAGTAAGCCATTCTGAAAACTTAAAACAAGACTTGCTCATTTCCAGATGCTCCCTGATATTGCAGGCTGAGTTGAATTGCTAATCTTCCTCTTTATTATTGATCATTGATATTTACCTTAGTGGCCACTGAGTCACGGGCCTGGTTCAAGACCAGTACTTTTGTTGTTTTCTTGATGGTCTCATTTTGTGGATATTAAACTGCAAAATACTGATCAGGTCTGGATTTCACCAGTGTAAACATGACGATCATACGTGAGATTAGGGAATGGAGAAAATTTAACAGGAATAGGCTGGAAGACCTACACTAGGAGGGCATTGGTGTCAATGGAATGGGAGTCGATCACTCAGGGGAACATCACTTATATATATAGTCTGGAGCCAATGGTGACTGATAAACAATTAAGCACACAGACTAAAAATATTGATCAGGGTTTCAGACTCTTCTGTGGGCTAACTAACCTCCCTGAGGTCATGTGACAGCTTCTGCAGCTGTGGACAGCGACACCAAATGTGGGAGGAAGGACAGACCAGTTTTTTTTTTTTTCCCCCAACCAATGATTTTGCTATGGATCTCCTCATTTATCAAACTATGTTGCCGCTGGTGTAATAAACATCCTACTGAGCATTCACAAATGCAGAAATAAAGAATTTAAACATCCAATTAAAATATTTTATAAAAAGTAAATGGATACTCTTATTGATATATTACAAAGTGGTTCACAATCCAGCCTTAGAGTTAATTGTATATTAACATTAGAAAACAGCTGGAAAAAGACACTGACAAATATTGGAAATATTAAAATGTAAACATTGTGCAGAAAATGTGCAATAATGCAAATCTATGAGGTAGAAAAAAAAACTGGAAAATTTGTTTAAAAAAATGATGTGCTAAATTAGAAGGCTGTTTGATAATTGATTCTCAATGTTTTAGTATTCCTCTAGATCAGCGGTCCCCAACCACTGGGCCGCGGACTGGTACCGGTCCGTCGGTCATTTGGTACCGGCCAAAGTATATATATATATATATATATATATATATATATATATATTAGGGATGGAACGGTTTATGAAAACCGTCCAAACCGTTCGGTTCGACTGTCTCGGTTCGGTTCGCGTGTGTTGCGTTCGGTTCATGCGCTGCTCCTTTTTCTCATAGGGGAAGCGTGTACACTCCAGAGCAGAAGGTGGCGGTACTGCAACCAAAGCCATCCACCAGTAGTAAACAAGAAGAAGAAGAGCGAAGCAGCGTAGCTGGATGTTGTGGAGAATTGTGTGGGTATGGCGAGTGGGAAAGAACAGTTGGAAGACGCGCCAGCAGCACTTTATAGGTCTGCTGTATGGGACCACTTTGCATTTAGAGTGACCTACGATGACACCGGAAAGAAAGTTGTGGATAAAAGTGCAACAGTGTGCAAGCATTGTGCAACAAGTTTTGTTTATGCTAACAGAAACACGACCAACATTTCATGCTAACCCCGAAATCCCACATACTCCGAGTGCAGGGGGCACTCCAAAACACTTTCTTTGACTCTTAGGTGGAATCATTAATTTTCTATGGTGTAGTATGTTGGAACAGTAGCTTACAGTATCTATTGGTTTGAGGAAGCCTTCAGATGAGCTCATCAGGAAGGCCAGCTCTGTACATGGATGCCCCCCTTGATCCATCACTGCTACAGACAAGCTCAAAAAGAGTTAACCGACATGCTTCTATTTGCAGTTTTTTTTGTTTTGGTTACTTAAACAACATCTCCGCTGAGATTTGCAAATGTCATCTTTGCTGCTGCAAATTTAACTGTCACTTAAATTAGGCAATTGTACATTCAGTAAATTTTGTAATAATACTTGCCCATACTATACAGCATTTTTATTCCTTACTCTGTTTTTATACACTTGCAATTTCTATTTTTTGAGGATTTTATGTGTGCAATTTTCTAATAAAACATGTTTTATTTTATTTTACTTTTATTTGTAGCACTTTGAGAAAGGCTACGATATGCACTATAATTAAATATAATGCGATAATACGCTATCATTGCATTGCGTCACTATAACTCTAATAATTATCCCTCTCCATGGCTAAGTTCTTGTTATAAACAGGAGATTTGATCAGCTTGGGAAAGACAAACTGGGGAGACTCAGACTCAGACTGGGACTGTTCTTGGGAAGAGATATTAATTGTAATGTGGCTACAGCAGGAGTTTTGGGTAATTAGAGAGAGCTGCACAGTTCTTACGGTTCTCATATACTGGATTTTGACCAGGGGGGGAGTAGAAGCATCCAACAGAGTGGGATCCGGTTGATATAGAGTGAGCAGGAAGGAAATTGCTCTCTCCTTACAGACCCAGAGGGAGTGTTGATGGGTGGACAGGCAGGTGAGCTCTTGAGAACTTGGAGACAGCAACACTGCTAGGAGAGGAGGACATGGAAGGTTAGTTTTCACTTTGAGGTTTAGTAGTCAATGGAGCTAGCAGAGAAGTTACCACGGCACGGAAGGTAACCAACTGGCATCAGTCATAGGGAATCCACTCCTCTAAATATTTTGCTCCTGATTGCAGCAAAGTGGCAGCAGCTGAAAACTCACCTTGCAAAGACACACCCCGGGGAGGAGAAAAGTATAACACACTCACACAACCAACACAGTAATCTTCGTACATTTGCACAGTAATATTTGTAGATCACATGCAACATACCCTCTTATTGTATTTGCTAAAGAAAAATAAAGTACGATTAACAGCTTTTCTTTTTGATTCTTGGTAGATCAAGTTCATAGTACAAAGGCACTGCGTGAAGTTTAACAATAAAAGGACTAAAAGGTATAAAAGTGTACCTATCTTTTGGGCATTACTCTGGAACCTCCAGAGATAAGAGATGCCTTATAAAACATAATGTTCATGGACAAAGCTGTGCATCCTTTTTACAAAAGTCAGAGGCCTCGTCCGATCTGTTGAAATACAGACTACTACTGATTGTAGAACTTCGTGAGAGATATTTTTATTTTCCCTTTAGGATTACGTTTTTTTGTTATTTGGGTCTAATATTCACCCCAACAAAAGCCATGGTTATGATAAAACATTTGAGCAAATGATTTATTTTGCCATTGTATGACTATCTACCACCACTGAAATAAGACCCATTCCAATTCATCATCATCCAGTTCTTAATTTAGGAAGCAGGGATTAATATGAATCATTTTCCAATTTAACATTAATTTCTTTTCAATTTTTTACATGTAGTGTAATGGATATGCTTGAACAAATATCTCTGAATGTAAAATGTAAGAACAGTGTTTCAATTTTCGTCAGAGCTTTCATTTTTAGATGTACTCATTTCCAATGTTTGAAAATAATTTGTTTTGTTTCAAATAAGATAGACATGATGGTAGAAAAGGCAGCAAAAAAGTCTCTGAGGCGGTTGCTCATTCCGCACAGCTTTAATGGCCTCTGCAACAGAAGGACACCTTTAATATTTGGACTTTCACGTCACTCTAGGCTAAATCCCTAGCAACCACCGTAGCAACATACTCAGAGTTCAACGTGAATTGCATGGCAAGTTGCTTCCTGCCACCACCCACAGAAAAAAAGGGTTAGAGCATAATCACAAAGCAGAGAGGGATATGTAAGAAAGGACACAACTGGGAGATAGACAAATAGAATTTCATTGGTCTATAAATAAGTTAATATAACAGAATGAACAAAACAAAGATTTTCCAGCAGACTAATCTGTTTGTTAGAAAGATTTAATATAATTCAGAAAAAATGTATATTCTACCATAAATTCAGTTCAGTGTAAAGATTGGAACAATTATAGTAATCAATGCTGCAATAACAACAGAATAATAAGAGTGAATAACAGTGAATTGTTGACTAGCACATATAAAAATCAGTTATGTGACAGATCAAATGAGCTCCAAAATACAGACTGACAAGCAAAGGCAAACAGGTCACAGACACAAATTCACTTGAACTAAATCAGGAGCTAAAGTGCAACCACAAAACTGTGATTACAAAAAAAAGAACCCATGAAAACATTTTGGCGAGGAAGAAAAGCAACAAAAAAATGCTGACAAATCAATAGATTTTAGGGAATTTTTGTAATACAGAACGTAGGACAGTTTTGTCTCTCAATTGGTGTGAAAGAATAACTGAAATTATCATAAACTGAAATGCATCAATAAACAGGAAAGGTAGAAATAAAGAAGTTACAAAATGTGATTACTGACTCCTGGATTTAAGAACCATCATGTTCTGAACTGTTTCCCTGACCTGGCTGAGACATCTGCCCATTCACTGGGGCTGCAGCATCTGGTTTATTCTGGGCGGCTCCTGCCGCATCTAGTCTAGCAGTCCATGGGTGGGATCCTGCGTCACTCTTAGCAGTTGGACTAAACTGTTAAACCAGGTGAGTGACTCTCTTAGATAATCATC